GTTTATAACTCAAATCTGTATCTCTTATGCATCACGAATTAGAGCGGGCCGAACTTGTTACTGTTTTTCAGTGAATGTAAAATACATTCACTGAAAAACAGTAGTGGCTTCTGTTCGCTCTGGTTCGTCATGCATAAGAGATACGGATTTGAAATGTTAACAAAACTTGTAGCTAATAACAAAACCTACAAAAACTCTATACATCATTTTGCGGAATTCTATTGATGAAAAAAGTAAGAGGCAAATGAATGTAAATGAATGCACGAAATGAATGCAAATGATTTTCCATGCCTGCCGGTAGCTATTATTCAACTTAAATTTGACGTGTTTCAAGTTAATGATCATACCTTTTGCCACACATATGCTTAAGGGGAAGCTTACAGGCCCGAAAAAGAAATTCGGTACGCTTTTATTTTTCTAAAAATATTGGGGAAAATTATCAAAAAATCAAGAGAATCAGTTTCTTCCTTAGATTTTTGTCAAAAAATACATTTGAAAATTGTTTTTGTATATCATCATGAAAGTCGATGTTTTGTGGTTTTTTGAGTTCAACTTTATGTGATAATGACTTATAAAAAATGTTTTTGCATGTGAATTTTCTTTGAAAAACTAGAAAAAATATGTGATTTTTTTCGATATTTGATACTTTTTTTCCAATATTTTTAGAAAAATCAAAACGAAAATTCAAAACGGAGCGTTGAACTCCTCCTTAACTGGTCCAGTTAGAATTATAATAAAAATGTAAATATGTAAATCCAATTAGTCAGAACCTTGTAGTCCCATAAAAATATGTAAGATATGAAGCGGTCTTCGATTTTTTTTTTCTAAATAAAACTAGAACGCTGAACAAGGATTGGAGCAGACTGTTATTTAATGCCTCAAAAAGCTTATAATGTATATAACTGTTAAGCTTTTGGCTGATTAAAATTACCAGATTTAGATGTTTAAAAGCTGAACAAAGATTAACGTGGTCTATGTACAAAAATTATTCAAACTAAGGCTGAATTAAAATCGATTGAACACCACTTATTCAGCATCAAATTGTGCCAAAACGTTGAGTTTCATTTTGCACGGACTTCGAAAATCTCAAAACGAACTTTTGCCGCACCTTACTCTTCATGCTTAGAAATATTCATGTAAATGTAGGTCCTCTGAGAGTGACATATACGAGCGTACATTTTGACATAAATTAGATTCATAACAGACGCGAAATATACCTCAATCAAACGTACTTTTCATCGAGCAACGAACTTTTCAGTCTCGGAGCACTTAATATTACATGAGATGTTTGTTTACGTCTCATCTTTTGTGTCAAAGATGGATTCCGTCACGTGTAAAATTAGTTATTTCTAAGTGTGTTCCTATTTTAGTTCTAATTTATTTTGAAAATTAATGTAGATATGGTGATTTCTTAAAGTGGTAGTATCTTGATATGTTTTGATCAATCCAGGTTGATCCAAATCTGATATCTCAAAATTTATTCGGAATTGAAAAATTAATTATAGGTTCAGGATCATTTTCTAAGTCCAAGACCGGCATTTTTTCAAAGTTTGAATTTTTTGCGTATAGTAAACTAAACCCTGAAAATGTTGTAAAGTCCGACATGTTTACATTTTTTTCTTCTGGGATCTGAGTTCTTAGATCATACATTCTCAGTCTTTCAATTTTCAAAATATTATTTTTATGTGTGCAGTATTGTTAAAATAAAATACCTCGTGACTTTTTTTTTCGAATCACGAAAACCCAAATATTCGCAATTTTTGTGGTTATTTTTAAAAAGTATGGTTTTGAAAATTCAGTTTAATTTAAAACTTAAAAGGTGATTCCGAAAGCGTCAAAAAATGGCCGTTGGGACATCACTCATGAAATTTGAATTCTCTGTTTGCTGAACTGCAGTGAACATGAAGTTCTAGGAATTAGGCTGCCTTAGACAGCCGTTTTTGCTTACTGAGCAAATTCAATCCCTGGTCCTATCATATTAAGGAGACTAATGTAACATTATCGTGTGTTTTGTGAAAAATGACATCGTCATTGTCGTCACCGCTGTATGCTGTGATATGCGGGGCTCAGTGGCCTTAGAGCGACCGTATTTGCTTACTGAGCAGAACATTATGAGTTTAATCTCAAGCCCCTCCACATTCAAGGCTCGATAATCGCTTTATTCGTTAATATGCATACATTGGAATAACATCAAATCGAGAATTGGTGTGTTGTAATAAAAGGAATTCGTTTACCTAGCGCTAAACGTTTTTTGCTACCATAAGTTCATTCCCAAGCTTCTTCGCGTTATAGGATCGTCAGGATATCAAATCAGGTTTCGTTTACCAATACAAATTTTGCTTCAAACCCAACCCTTTTATCCTATATTCAAGTGATTTTTCGTGGAGTTAATTTAGATGAAATATCTCCTAAATGGCAAAAAATCTAGCTAGGAAGTTCTTTGATTCCACTGAGTTATACTCAAAATTACACGAGGGAGATAATATGAATCAAAAGTTTTCCCAGTGCAAATGATGGGCCCTGAAAAGTTGTCAAAGCTCTTGGGCTTTGATAGGAAAGGTTCTCAATAGAATTTCTAATAGAATTCTCATCATTCCAAGGGTATCCTGAAAGGAAGTCCTAGGGAAGTTAGAAAAGTACTTTCAAGAAATTGTTTTTATGCATAATTCCAATGAATTTTTGAGGATAGTTCCATCGTATTTCTGCGGAGAATTCTATGAGGATTGTGACAGTAGATTTTTAACTCTTAAAAACAACTCTGAGGAGCAGTAAAAGTTAAATCCGACAATAGCTCTGATGAAATTTCAACGACAACTTCAAGGGAATTTTAATAATAATGTAAAGCAAATTTTGGCTAGAACTCTTAAGGAATTATGACATGAATTCCCAAAAAAAAATTTGTACGATTTTCAAGGGAATCTGGGTATGTTCCAGAATGTTCCAATGGAATCCTAGGATGAATTCCAATTTGTTGTCAGTATTGCAAGGAAAGGTTAATCAGGGAATGCTGTGGAGAATTTCTAGGAACAGTCAGCGGTGGTAGTTATCAGTAGAGATGCAAGATAGTTCTGCTTCTGATTGAAAACTTTTGAAGAGAATTTTTGGATTTTCATGTATTTCGAGGAAAATCACATAAAATCCGCTCAAACGTCACACTTAGATCATAACCCAATGTAAAACTCTAAAATATAAAGCAGATATTTTGAATAGGAAATATCATCGGTGTTTACTACACAGTAAAATTTTGCAAACTTAAAGGCGAATAAATTGCATGAGATTTGAGTTTTAGAGTTTTTTCGAACACTGCTGAAGAGAATAACTTAAGCGTATTCATGCAAGAATAATTAAGAGTAAGAAGAATATGGTATATGTAATTCCAAGAGTTGTATGGGAATACCTGAGAGAATCTCACTATTATGGTCGAAGAATTTTTGACATGAACCTTGCGAAAATTGGGGAATAATTTGATGAGAATTCTGTACAGAACGTAAAACCAACCCTATTTCGAAACCTGGCGTTTGATTTACTTAAATGGGAGTTTTTACGGATTGTCAAAGCGTAACAAACCCTCACTACGACTCTGCATGTGGAACCCACATCAGCACGTGGTATATAATAAACATATCTCAAAAGTGTTCGTATCAATTTCTAAAATATCTAGATTCAACCTTAATGTGCCCATATTACATAAGAGGTAGAGGGTATTCAAACGTACATTCTCAGTGACACCTTAACATTTAAACAACACACATTCGTTGACGGAATTCAATGATATCCAGCTTATATATATTTAGTATAAGTGATGCGAGATAAAATACCGTAATGCTCCGAAATCAAAACATTTAGTCCATAAATCCGGAGAGCTTCGAGATTAGGGCGTAATTGCTTTATAAACAAACACTTCATTTGACAATTTATCGTGAATTAAAGCTCAATTTAAAAAACTAACAACACAAACAGGTAGCTGTCTGGTTCTTCTATCATTTGGTATAGTTTGTTCGCGAGATTGTTCTTTTATTCACGAGAAATCAGTTATTATCAATGCCTACAATGCTCAAAATAGTACATAAATTTTAACTAGACTTAAACCGTTGAAAATCACCACACATGTTTATTACGCAACAAATTAGACGCAATAATAAATTCAAAATAAATTTTTCAGCTTTGTGGACCGTGAATGACAAGCATGTTTGCAAAACAAACTATTTTAAGCCTATCAAACATCATTCTATTCAACATATGTACATATATCTACTTCAAAGTCATACGGCACAGATGCAGGCATGCGCTTTTATACATGTTTTTCCCATCTTTCAATAACTTGAACGAAAATATGAGAAGCAGCACCGTTGCTACCTCAAACATTCCCAGACCATTCCAATGACCATCTGGTTCAAAAGATCGAAACATTACTTCCCGTTCGGAATTTTCACATTGGTAAAAACTACTACCGTCTTCTTTTCAACTTCAAAGCTCCGGTCCGAAACACGGAACACGTAAAACTTCCTCTAGCCAAGCTTCAACATCTTCCATCTCCTGACTGCAACAACTCTTCGGAACGCTTAGGGAGAAAATTCAATTTCCAACTTCAAAATCCATAAATCATCAAAGAGCATCTGGTTTGACCCACTTTCTGTCCCCCTCTATCTCTTCCGTCTCCCTTGCCCGGCAGAATGTAATGCTTGCACGAAATTCCCGATGATGTAATACGTAACGACCGTTTATTGCGAGAGCGGATGTCTCGTCGAACTTGTGTTTCAAAATGACGCTTCTTTTTTTTTTTTGTCGCCCGATCGTCGTTGACTCCAGCTGGTCCTCTGGTGGCGTGATGCACGCGATGTCATCCTGGTGATAGTGGCTTCGGTGGCTAAAACATTTTATACGGGCTGCTGCAGCCTCAATATGCAACGCTCAACTAGCGCGCTGGTTCAGCGTTGTCGTTCGCTTGCAGCAGCCAATCCCCCGAGAAACCACATGGTCTCCCGAAACGTTATACTTACTAGCTTCAACCATATGTTAGTAACGAGCAGTTGATTTTTTTCGTCCTGCAAAGAAAAGAAAAAAAAGACAATTAGATGCGGCGGGGCAAAACGGCAAAAAGGCAGAAAGTAGGAGAACGGTCAACCGTGTCAATGTGCTATAATCGGCCAGCGTAGCGGACGCTACTCTCTCGTCTATGCCCACACGGGTAAGGTTGTACGAGTAGGTAGCCGATGAGATCGACTCAAAAGAGAATGGTTTTCCACTCAAAATCACAAAACCATAGACTACTCCTTGCCTGAAAAATCTGCTTGCGTGAATGAGTGAAGCTTCTTTAGATTTTCCTCATATTCGAAGAGTTTTCCTGGCAAATCGAGCCGGTCTGACAGTAACCTTCGTGTTTGCGAACTTGAGTGAACGAAACTCAAATTTGAGTTGATTTAATCGAGCGTGCACGAGTGTGTATGGTCAACTTTCAGTCAAACTGATTCAACAAAACGAACGAGCGAATGAACGGTGGCATCTTGCTGCTTGTTCTCGTTTGCCGTTTTCGGTGACCCTTATCAAAGAATCTTGTTGTTGTTGTTGTTGTTGTTGTTGTTGTTGTTGTGCCTGACGATGTGCGGTGCTATTTTTTCTACTTTGTTCGCTTCAGAAGCGAATGTCGTCTATTTTCAGCTTAGAAGGAGCGATAAGTGAACGGTTCACGTTTTTTTTATTGAAGCTATTTTTAAGTAGCAACATCCCAGCGGTTTCCGTGGTGTAGTGGTTATCACATCCGCCTAACACGCGGAAGGCCCCCGGTTCGATCCCGGGCGGAAACAGGTAGCTTTTTATTGGCATGGTTTCCTGATTTTATCATCTGCTTTGTTCTCGCAGAAGCCTTTGCATAGGTAGAAATAATTCAATTTTTTTATTTTAATTAATTTATTTGTACAGGCTTAATCGAATAAACTTTACAGAGCCGGGTTATCATTTCCATTATACATTATCTATGTCTTATATTTAAAGTTAAAGGAACTGGACCGAATACTCGCGGTTGTATCGAGGTTAGTTGAGATTTACAATATTTTGGATGGGAAAAGGGAGAAGGAGGTTTGAAATGTGATTACAAATATTTAATTAATCCTAAAACATGAACTTATTTCTATTCATCTTGAAAACTAACATTAAAAAACCACACGTACAAAATACAAACTAAACACAAGGTTAAACAAATTTACAATCTAAGGTTAATAAAGGGCGAACACGAAATTATTGCGACACCGAAAATGTCATGCCAATTTTCTTATAATGTTTAGAATCAAACCAAAATTTTAGGGTAGTTTTATAAATATATTTACTTCAAAAATCAAAAGAAAAGTTAATCGATGGAGCCTTGAGTGTAAAATTGAACGCATTTTCGCTTGATGCCCTCCATCAAAGTCTTTACAGTGTCATCCGGTACCAGTTTCTCAGTTTTTTTTTTCCATTTTCTTAACATGTCCTTCTCGTCTTTGACTGTCTTCTTGCTCTTCCGAAGTTCCCGCTTCATTATTGCCCAGTACTGCTCCACCGGGCGCAGCTCCGGACAGTTTGGCGGATTCATGTCCTTTGGAACAAAATGGAAAGAATTGGCCTCATACCACTCCAGGACACTTTTAGAATAGTGGCATGATGCCAAATCTGGCCAAAATAGCGGAGCTTCGTCGTGCTGCTGCAAGAACGGCAAAAGGCGCTTCTCGAGGCACTCAGATTTGTAGATCTCGCCATTTACTGTGCCCTTTGTCACGAAAGACTCACTCCTCAGTCCGCAAGAGCAGATGGCCTGCCAAATGAGATATTTGGAGGCGAACTTCGACATTTTCTTCTTCTTGAATTTGTCGTCCACATCGAACTTGCTCTTGCCGGTGAAAATCTCCGACCCCGGAATTTGCTTAAAATCGGCTTTTATATACGTTTCGTCGTCCATCACACAGCAGCCATATTTTGTCAGCATCTTCTCGTAGAGCTTCCGTGCCCGAGTTTTAGCCGTCGATTGTTGCCGCTCATCGCGGTTTGGGAAGTTCTGTACCTTGTATGTATGTAGTCCAGCTCTCTTTTTTGCATTCTGGACGTAGCTCTGCGACATGCCGATCTTTTTGGCCAAATCACGGCTTGAGACGTTGGGATTTGCTTTAATCATCCGCTTCACCTTTCCCTCCGTCTTTTTGTTCTCCGGTCCCGGTTTTCTTCCAGCTCCTTTGCCGTGGTCCAACGTCAACCGCTCCTGGAACCGCTTCAACACTCTGGAGACGGTTGAATGGTAAATGTTCAACATTTTTCCCAACTGCCGGTGCGACAGGTCAGAAAATTCTAGGTGTTTGGAAAGAATTTGTTCTCTCAACTCGCGTTGGTTCACCTCCATTTTCGTTGAATCGAAAAACACGACTTCGAGTTTGACAGCATGTACACAATACACATCAATGAGAAAGTGTGCAAAATTTGGTTGATTTTTACCCAATGGTAAAAAAGTTATGCCCTGTTGAATGTGTCGCAATAATTTCGTGTTTGCCCTTTATTCTTAAAGTAAACATATGTATATGAGTTTCATAAACTCCAGATCGCGTCTAGCCAAAATATCCCGAACTGGAACATTAGGTTGTCTACCTCCATCCCGAAGGGAATCGTACAGCCCAGATCTGGCTCCACGATGCTCAGCACAAGACCAAATAATGTGATCGGCGTCTTGGTAACCTTGTCCACATTCACAGAGATTGCTATCCCCCAGCCCAACACGGAACAAGTGAGCGTTTAACGAATAGTGATTGGACATGCGGCGAGACATCAGACGTATGAAGTCTCGACCCACCTCCAACCCCTTGAACCAAGGACTCTTCGACACCTTAGGGATGATCAAATATAGTCATCTTCCCAAACTCCCTTCGCTCCATTTATTCTGCCAGCTGACGAATGATTGTTGACGATAAATGAAGAAAAACTCATCGTAGGCGAATTGTCGATCGTAAATATCGCCTTCCATAGCGCCCACCTTAGTAAGTGAGTCCGCCATCTCATTGCCCGGAATCGAGCAATGAGATGGGACCCATGCAAAGGTGATGACAAAAGATCTTAAAGATAAAGCACTTAGAAGCTCTCGTATTCTCATCAGAAAGGAGGAGTGCTTTACCGGTCTCATAGAGCAAATAGTCTCGACAGAACTGAGACTATCCGTAAAAATAAAATAGTGAGCTGGTAAGCAAGTGAGGTGATAGTTGCAAGCGTATAATGTATTGCCGCCAGTTCAGCAACATAAACGGAAGAAGGAGCTTGAAGCATTCGAAAGGCGCTATGAAATTCGTTATAAATACCAAATCCAGCGGACGCCTCTATTAGTGATCCATCTGTGAAGAACGACCTTGCGGAATCAACTTGGCCAAACTTTGCAGCGTAAATTGACGGAACAATCATGGAACGATGATGCTCTAAGTTTCCACGAATAGATAAATCAAAACTAACTGATTTGCTGAAGTCGGAGAACCATACACGATGAGGATTATGCTGTGAAGAGCTGACATCCTGTGTTATGTACACGTAGTACAATGACATAAAACGTGTTGAGGGCTTCGCTCAAGAAGTTGCTCAAAGTTTTCGATTACCAGGGGGTTTATAACTTCACAACGGGTGAGGAGCCTGAGCGACAATTCCGAAAACCGATCAGAGAGTGGCAACATGCCCGCCAACACTTCTAGACTCATCGTATGAGTCGACTGCATGCATCCTAACGCGATAAGACAACGATACTGGATACGTTCCAGTTTGATGATATGTGTTTTAGCCGCCTACTGGAAGCAAAAACTACCGTACTCTAAAACCGATAAAATCGTTGTCCGCTACAACGTTATAAGATCTTGCGGATGGGCTCCCCACCACGTTCCGGTAATTGTACGGAGAAAATTTATCCTTTGTTGGCATTTCCGCTTCAGATACTCAATGTGGGATCTCCATGTGCATTTGGAATCGAACCAGACCCCAAGATATTTGAAGGACATAGAATGAGTGATCGGTTTACCCAAAAGTTGAAGCTTCGGTTGTGCTGGGCTATGCTTCCTAGAAAAAACGACCAACTCAGTTTTCTCCGTGGAGAATTCGATACCTAGCTGAATAGCCCAAGTAGACAAATTGTCCAAGGTATCCTGTAAGGGTCCTTGCAGGTCAACCTCTTTTGGCCCTGTGATAGACACTACGCCATCATCTGCAAGTTGTCTCAACGTGCAATTGTCACGAAGACAATTGTCAATTTCTCTAACGTAGAAATTGTACAAAAGGGGGCTTAAACATGAGCCTTGGGGGAGACCCATGCACAGTGGTTCCTGGCTGGCCAAAACCTCAAAAATTAAAGTTGATATTTTTTATTTCAATATTTATTTTATCATTTTTAGATGTTAAGAGTATCTTAAATTGAATGATTTGTGCAGTTCTGTTGATTACATATTTGTTTATGGTTGTTATTGTGTAGCTTTTTGTTACTGTTTTGCTCAAATATAGCAAAAAATAATGTGTGTATCAACTTGGTTGCTTGAGAAGAAATGTTACTCGGCTTATTTCACGTCAAATGGATGGTAAAAAAGAATGTCTGCACTGTTTTAAGTGACAGTTTCAAATAAAAAATTAGCAAAAATATACTTTTTTACATTTAGACTAAGCAAAACATATGACGGACACATCCGCCCACTAACCAAAAGATAGCTAGAAAAGCTAGCTTTCAGATAGATTTTAATGTTTTTTGCGATTTTTTACGAAAGATGTTGAAATTAGGAATAACAAGTAAAGTGTTCTTTGGAAAATATCCGTTTCTAAGTTATATAATCTGCGGTGTATACTGTAGCAAGCTTCAAGCACACCAACACGCACACACATACACACACGTACCATATATCTATCTCTTATGGTTCATGAGTTATGATTTTTTTTTTAAACAAGCAGTTTAGGGTGGCATTCTTTAAATATCTTTTTATACGTTCACTTCTCGTGATATTTTTATACTAGACACTTTAAGAACTTTTTATGACCCATATTTTTGCTAAGTTGTTATCTCTTTTATTTG